ATATGGCGGACGAAAATACTGAGCGACGAAGGACTTTAATTTTGCGAAAAATTGTTCGCCAATTGAACGAGAAGGAGAAGGCTGACAACGGAGCAGTATGTGTTACAATATGTTCAGGTTGCATCGGGTTGAGAATGGCCAAGTTTCTTCTTTTTCTTTGGCGGAAAAACATGTACGCGTGTTCCATACATTAACATAATGTATGCATTAGATTCGACACGGCAGAAATTCGACGTCTGAATCGGTGTCGCATTTCTGTCGGATAATGCGATAAGACCAGTCCAACGTGCGGTAGAAATGCGGCAGCCGATTTAGACGTCGAATTTCTGTCGAATTTAATTCGTTGAATTGAATTCGGCACGGCAGAAATGCGACGTATGAACCGGGCCTTAGGGTTACTTGCGTCTTTTATGAACGCGCTATTAATACTGACGTTTGGCAGGCAATGAAAGCGGGTGCATATAAACAACATATACAAAATAATGGCTTTTTCTAAATGGCTTGGCTTGCGAGAGACAAATTATTGTTTTCTCTCGGAAATGAGTACCGGGACCTAGCGATTTTTTATTGAGTTTGAATGCTACCATCACCTTCTTTCTATTTCTATAGTGAATACAGACCAATTTCTATTGCAGAGTAACAAATTATCACGCAAAATGAGAGCATAGCTAGCACTCGTTAAAGATAATATGTGCCCTCAAGAACACTGCGTGCTTAGAACTTATTGAATCCCTGTCGACTAAATATGGGTGCTTCTATCGTGAAAAGTACATCAAATTGTTCCTTAACATTGATGCAATGCAGCCATTGTTGTATTTCTCGCTTAACTTTCTCCCTATTTTTCTGCTCTCACAAAGTGTAAAGTGAGTGGTTCAAATATAAATGTTTCTAAAAGCAGATAATTCAAGGAATTAGGGAGGTTCATTGAAGGTCTTCCTGTTCCTAAACGAATACCGGGACCCCCTTTTTCTTTTTCAAAATTTAAGTTCTCTTGATGTAAGCAGCCAACAGGAAAAATTTGAATGAAAATCTATTTTGCGTTCTTTTTCGGCGGAATGACCTTAATGTTTTTGGTGTGCTTGGTTTTGTCTTTTACTTACAACATTTCCTGTACATACACCCACTTCCTTGATTTGACCCATTGTTTCAGTGGAGATTTGGAATCCCTTTAATAAGGCGATCCCATACTTTTACTTCTGAAATACCACAAAAGTTGCTAAATAAATCTACTCCCTTATTATAGACCGATTTTTTTATGCAATTACATTGACTCAGTCTCTGCTCTTACTACTCCGGATACCAAAGGGAATGAAGGTTATGGCAGAGTTGCCAGGGAAACATATATTTTACTTCAAGGGGCCGATAGTTACTACCAAACTGTTGCCTTGGTGAGGGGGGCGTAAGGGTTTGCGGTTATGCGGTTTTGCGTTATTTTTGGTGCGGTTCTGCGGAAATCTTTATTTTAACCTGCGGTATTGCGGTTTGATAACACTAAGCGGTTTGCGGTTTTCATAAATTTTCGATCGCGGCAATCGGTAAAAAAGAGTCTGCAGCCGTCAGCGCTTTCCAGTTATGACAGTCATTACTCGGATCCTGACGCTTCCGATGACTTTTGATCTCTTGTTTATGTTTTGCAAGGGACCATTGTTGTGCAAGCAAGCTGTGCTGTTTGTAATTTCCGCTTTTTCCAGTTAATTGGTATGATTAACCATTTTGTCCAATAATACGTCGACTTGTTGACTTTCCGGGCAGGGAATCTTTTGCTCGGATTTCCTACAGCATTTGCCGTGACCTCGTGCGATACAATGTCTGCCGAGCATGCAAGAAGAAGTGGTTATGAGGATGGCCGGGAAGAGACGATGTTACTTCAAGGAGAGATTGGAAGCTCGGCGACGTTTCTTGTGGGAGCAAGAACTCGCCTCTGGAGAGTTATACGCTTCAACAATCGTTTGGTTTACTGAACACTTCATGGGGCTGACTACGTTGTCTTTGGGTCATTCAAAATTCTTCTTGGAAAATTTTAAATGAAATTTAAGGTTGATTCAGTCGAATTGCGACATAAAATGGATGTTCCGAGCTCGTATTCGGGATATTTGAGCTTGAAAGCTAGCATCTTGACGAATTTTCACCAAACAATAAAGTCGCGGAAAGCTTGCGTTGTGTGACATTCGAGTGGTTTCCGGTGCTGAAGTCGTAAACATCGATGTTTTTCAATTGGGTAATTCAGCAGTATTCGTGCGTGCGCGAGCGCACTTATATTAGATCCACAGCAGCATAACGAAGTCGGTCCCACGGACGTGTGTCAATTATTACGGTATTATTTTATGAGTGCGATGATCATACGTTGATTAACATTAACGTATACTCTTATCAAACTAAATAAGGTCGTATTTCTAATGGAATGGCGAACTATAAGTAATGATGACGGCACCGTAGCACATTTGTAACTACAGTTTCGGTATTTTGGTAAATTTCCGTGCGGTATTGCGGTTTTTTACGTTTTTTTTACGCGGTTTTGCGGTTTTCGGATCCCCCCTTACGCCCCCCTCCTTGGTTTTGATGGTCTTTTGAGTGTGTATTAACTTTGTACAAAGCTCTGAGGTAATCAAAAAGCTACCAGAGACTAGCTCCCTTGGAAGAAACGATTGTTTGTGTTTATTCTGTTATGAAAAGAATTCTAACTTTCCAAACAGTCGACATTTATACATGAAAAACGCTGACCTTAAAACGAAATTATTTTCAGTAATTTACAGGTAATTCTAGAAACCTTTATAAGTAAATTTAATTCTCTCATGATCGTCCTGATTCAAACATAACTCAATAATCCTTCTGTTTATATTTCCCTTTCAGGTTAACTAAATACCACAGCAGTATTTAAAAGGCCATTTTGTTATTTATTTTGCCTAATGGGATAGCTACCGTGGCCATCTGGAGCTGTCTCACGGGTGCTAAAGTTTTCAGTGCAGCAGACAATTTTGTAACGGGTGGGGTGGTGGGAAAGGTGATGGACGCGCGCTCAGGAGCCATAGAAATAAGAACCTCTTTTGAAAAATCAGAGCAGACATGTTAAATAAGTTTTTTCACAAACCATGATTCTGACCCAAGCATGTTGAGATTAATTATTATCCCGGAGACATTTACTTACTTTACTACAAACTCCCAAATAAATTAATGCCAAGCCAAACATGAACGCTTTAGGGTATAATAACAGGGTGAAAAATAGAACTCTTTTAAGGAGTCGTCCGCCGAGAGTTTTAAAACCACAGCCGTAGCGTCTTCCAAGAACGGCTCAGTAATGAAAATACGACAAACAGACAACTTTGTGTTGCTATCATGACGGGAGATAAAATTAATTTTAAACACAATTTTAAACTGTACCAGCTGATATTTACTAATGTGATTTGACTAGGAGAAGTTGGTTACACGTGGAAGCAGTTTGCTCCATGCAGTGTGAGGTATCGATATAATCTCAGTGCAGTCACTTGTTTAACATGTGATATTAGTACTTTTCTCCATAGCTTGTTGCAGGTTTTTCCAAATCTGCGTTTATTTCTTTTCTCTGGCGTACAACAAGTGCTCCTGGCTTGGTGCCTCCCTGATCATCCAAAGAAACGTTGGGGTTTGGTTTCTTGCTTCTTTTCAAAAGTTTTAAATCTCTCTTCTGTGGCAGCAATGCTCTGATGAGCCTCGATTTCTAGCCATTTTGTGAGCCGCGCTCCTTGATCACAACGAACCACAAGCGTGAGCAGGCCCATACGAGCAGGAAGATTTGCAGCTCATGTGGAGGTTTCATTTTATAATTGAATTGAATAGATTTTCCGACCGTTACATCCAGACTTTTGGGTGGTTTTCTCCACGCTGTGATTGTCAAAAGCAAAAGATTTTATTATCATATCAATGACTAACTGATAATTAGAAAGCTATATCTGATTTATGGCTGTATAAACACAAAATCTTGACTCTTCTGACCCGAGAGATTTCCAGTATTAGTAAATTAAACATTCACCCGCATTTTTTGCGTCGTGCATGGTTACTTCGCTGCTGCAGGAAAATAAACCACTGTTGGGTTTTATGTTCTCAAGCAGAGTTTTGCTAATTGCCTCTGTAAGTTAGAAACTTAGGCGTGCTACTTTAAAGAGAAGAAAAGAAAAAACAGCTGAAAAAAAGCAATTAAAAGCAAAATAAAGGCAAACATACAAACCACGCAAGAGAGAGAGAGAGAGAGAGAGAGAGAGAGAGAGAGAGAGAGAGAGAGAGAGAGAGAGAGAGAAAGAAAAGGAAAGAAAAGGAAAAAAGAAAAGACCTGTTATTTACTNACGCAAGAGAGAGAGAGAGAGAGAGAGAGAGAGAGAGAGAGAGAGAGAGAGAGAGAAAGAAAAGGAAAGAAAAGGAAAAAAGAAAAGACCTGTTATTTACTTCTTTCTCCAAAACTGTGGTTTAAAGAGGCTGGGTAATTTTCCTGTGTCTAACATTGTCTTCAAGATCAAATCAAAGAAAAGTTGAAAATAATAGCTTTCCAAGATACAAAAAAAAGGCAACAAAAAACTTAGAATTATCTTCGTTTAATTGATAAACCACTTACCGTTTTAATGAAAAGTAAACATTTCATGTGGGAAAGGATAATTTATGTTCTAAGAAAATTGTCGTGTCGTGTCAAGGGTATGCTGAATGTTTACGCGACTGTTTAGTATTGACTTAGAGCAGTTACGGGCGCATTATAAAGCATGGGATACGCGCGTATCTTCGCGTTCCTGATTCCAGTTTTCTTAAAGAGGAACGGACGTTCTTCGTTTCTGCAAGGGTGACGAGTTAACTCCGAACGATTCGAAGCCAATTCAGCGCGCTATGAATTTTTCCAAGTCTCGCGTCGGCCTGCTTTTCGTGGTTGCCTTCGTGGTGTGCTTTGATTTTCATAGCATTTCTGCCATGGTCCGAGAAACTCGTGACGGGTTTATCAGAGAAGATGAAGGTACCGGTGAACATTCTCAGCCGATCCGAGGGAAAAGGTCAGTTCAAATTGATGCAGCCCGCCCAAACCTGACGGAGATTGCGAAAAGATTGCTAGTCGTGGAAAAAAAGTAAGTAACTTACAAGGTGAAAACTCTTTCGAAAGTTCCATCCGAAATATGTCTTTCAACTAGTATACAATGAGGTATAAAACGGATTAATTTCAAGACATTAAGATTTCACTTAACAGGGCCGTAGCTAGCAACAGGCGAACCTAAGCAATTACCTTAGCCAAAATTTTTGAACTTATTTGCAATAACAGTAATGCAGTGAAGTAGAGATGCATCTCGGTGTTCTTTTTTTTCATATTTAAACCCTCTTAGCTTGCTTATGTTTGTGTTGGCTTCTATCTGCAGACTTGAAGCCTTGCTACATCCCAGCTCAAGTGACTCCTGGTTGGTGGGGTACCTTTTGGGTATGTAGGTACTGCCGATTTGAATGTTTGACCGTTAAAAGAGCCATTTTCCTCTCACGACCTGAAAACTCTAAAGCTTGTCTTACAATAAGCTATTCGCTGTTACTAAATCAATTGAAGTGTGTGTAGGAAGACTTTCAAATACGGTGTTGGCCGCGAATAAATGACTACAAGTGGCGGATAACATTTCCCAGCAGTTATTCTTTGCCGGACAAGAAAATACTACCACGCTTTATCAAGTGATGTTACATTAGACAAATAGCTTGTTCCCACTGCGTTTGTCTGAGTCACAGGGAACGTTTAACTTAGGTCAAGTTTGTCAAAATTCCGAAGCAAAACTTTGAAAGTCAGCTTACCGTCATTAACCCTTGCATCTATTCTCAGATAAAGCACGCTGTTTCAGCCAATCAGAGCGCGCTTTATATGGAAACTGTATTATAAAATCTAAAAATAATGTTGTTCGTAAACAATGCCAGCACAAGGGGTTGATACTGCTCAGAACCAGAAGATAGCTTGAGTGTATTTGTTTCGATTTTAAAATAGAAATGTTGTTTATATATCTTGTCATTCTTTTTCTTCAGGGCGGGACAGTAAACATAATGGACAGGGCAAAACTGGACCCCCGGGACCTCCTGGAAAAATGGGTCCAAAAGGTAAGAAAAATAGAGGGATGTATTTGAAAAAAAAAAAAAAAATACAAAAAACAAAAAACAAACAAACACACACAAAAAAATAACAAAACAAAACAAAACAGAAACAGCAAAAAATAAAAATAAAAAAAGCAAGCATGCAGCACACACGACCCGTCCCACATTTCCCTGAACTTTTAAATTCAATACAAACATATTGCTAAAAAAGTGCCGGGAAAGGAAATTTGCAATTAGGACTGAAACAAGAGCTTCCACAATATCAGGCTCCGTGGGCGAAAAATCAACATAATTAAGGTGATTGGTACTACATGAGTGCTTCAATTCTTAGTCCGTGTGTAGTATAGAGCGAACGAGGATGGACAACACAAAGGTAAAACACATACCAATTACTAGAGAATTTCAAAGTTAACACGCTGTTGAAAAAAACAACAGAAAAGAAATATTTCTTTAATACTGCAGGCGCCAAAGGAGATCAGGGAGATAAGGGCGAGAAAGGCTCGGATGGGAAGTCTGGGGTCAAGTATGTTCGCTGGGGAAGGACCACATGTCCCAGTGGTGCGGAAATTGTTTACAAAGGTAGGGATAAGCCGGCCTGCAGAATTTAAACAACTTTTTCTATGAAGGAGGATTTTTTCGCCTTGTAGCGTAGTGGGAGTAATTTATGAAGGTAAGGACTCTCACATCAGGGAATTTTCTTCATCTTTCAAAATATCGAAAGCAGGACAAGTCATCGAAATCAGTGCCTGAAGGATGAAGGATAATAAACACAACAGCCTCGAACTCCATTTGCAATTTGACCCCAAAACCTGCTCAGGTATTTGTCCTTGGACATTGTCTATTCCTCAAAGCACATAGTTTTACTCGAACTACGCTTTCGGAAAACTGTTCGCTTCACGTAACAGATAATGCCAGCGAAAAAAAATATGCCTGCGTATTTCGCGCCAAATCGAGCCTACTTTGTTTAGATATTACCCTAACGCTTGGTCAAAAACCCCCTATTTGTACGTTTTGTATGTCGATGAACATACATATATAGTAGCTGATCAACATAATTTCCTCTTGTGTGTCTAAGAAGAAAAAAAGATCATTATTTTTATATGCTTGTTGCTAGGTGTTATTGGTGGTGAACATCACACTCACCCAGGCGGCGGAGTAAATTATCTTTGCCTTCCGCTCAATCCAATTTACGACAAGTACAAGGATGGATTTCAGAACTCGGGATTCGTGTATGGCACCGAGTATGAAGTCAATACTTTCAATCCATTTAAGAAAAATCTCCATGACAGTGAAGCACCTTGTGTTGTTTGCTTCGTTAAGTCACGTGGCTCACTGCTTATGATGCCGGCACGGAATGTTTGTCCATCTGGATGGACCGAGGAGTATCATGGGTACCTGATGAGTGGATACTACAACCACAAGAAAGGATATGAGTTCGTCTGTGTCGACGAGGATGCAGAGTATGTCCCCGGTACGCAGGTTAACAAGGATGGCGCCTTACTCTACCCTGTAGAAGGACGGTGTGGCGCACTCCCGTGCAACCCATATATCGCCGGAAGAGAGCTAACTTGCGCCGTGTGCACTAAGTGACCGACGACGACCGTTGCATTGGAAATGTAAAAGAAGACGGAAGAAAAATTTTTGAACATGTGATTTCATAAGCTCTCCTGATCTAACTTGATTTAGAACAGTACTTATATGCTAGTCATTTTAGTCAAAGAAGTAAACCATAATGAAGTTCAGTCTTTCGGTCAAAATTGAAGATCACAATGCACATGTATATGTAGCGAATAAATAACAATAATAAATTGTGCATGGTAAATACTCAAAAGCTCTCTTCTTTGCTTCACTGTCATTCAGTTTCTCTGGAGCCCTTGATTCTGTTGGTCCAAGCTCTGACCTCTGCATTAAGGGCGCTCGCTCGGCGCATTGCAGCAATTTAAATAAAGATTAGTAACTAGAACAGAAACCTAGCAACAGAAATTTCACATGTCGCCAGATAGCCTTAAAACAATGTTTTCCTCCAGCTTGATTTTCGACAAGGCTTAATCGTAGTTCAAATAAAAGAAAATCACTCTTTATTATGTTACTTTAATATTAAAAAAAGCAAGAACTCGAAATTAGCTTAGAATATTCGTGTTGGCACATTTCAGTATGAAATAAACAGACAGGCTTCTTAATACACCGAGAGAAAAAAGTCAGTAAAACTCATTATTATATGGTTTGTTCTCGTAGCCGATATAACGCGCGCTCTGATTGGCTAATTCTCGGACATTATTCTCCCGTAATACCCACCGGCCGATTAAGGGCTGACAAAAACAGACCAAAAAGCCATATATTAAACAACTTACTAACCCAGAACGCTTGGTCTTTACGTGAAAATCTCAAACCTCGACCTTGCATGGGTACGATCCGATTTTAAAAGAATTTCTTGTTAATGGTTTTTGTTACGGTTTTCGCATTCAGTTTGTTGGTGAGCGGTTCGCGTGTGAATCTCCTAATCTTAAAAGTGTTTTGGATCAGCCACTGACATTACTCATTTAAAGCAGTTACGTAAGGGCCGATTTACACGGTACGACTTTGTCGCATGCGACAAGCCTACGACAGACCTACGACATGAATTATTTCTTGTAAATCAAACCTACAACTCGCTTACGACCGTTGTGTTCGTCAAAAAACGTCATAGGATTTTAAAACATTTTTTAAAACGCTCTGACAATCGTAGCCGAAATCGATAGAAAAAGACGTATTTTGTGACCAATGTCTGCTGAGTAGGGGGCTAAGGTGAGGTTTTCGTGTGTCAAAATGCTGTTGACTGGTTCACATGAAGTCGTTTCTCGAAAAGTACTGAACAGATTAAAGCGAAAAACATCTCCTTAGAAAGTTTCTTCAATGCGCAGGAAAGCTAAAAAAAAAATGTTTACCGTTTGTTAGAACGTTCGCTCCGAAAGTCCCGGTACAAACAATTTTGCATATTTAATGTTTTAAGTGAAAATGTCGTGCGCGTGTAAATAGTCCTGACTTGTCGTAGGCCTGTCGTAAGCTTGTCGCAGGCGACGAAGTCGTACCCTGTAAATCGGCCTTAAGGAATGCGATGCGGGACGTATTGTTGGCCCATTTTCCTCCCCGCCCTTTCCGCTTTTCCGCTGTTCCCCATTAGGCATTGTCCCTAAAAAAGATCCCCCTGAATTTCGCTTAATACATCATTTATCTTATCCCAGAGGTTCTTCGGTTAACGATTTCATTCCTGATTACTGCTCTACTGTCAAATACACTTCGGTCTTAGATGCGACGAAGGAGATTAAACGTTTGGGCCGGGGTTGCTTCATGGCCAAATCTGACGTGAAATCTGCTTTTTGCATTATTCCTATTCACCCCACTGACTATTTCTTGCTAGGTATGAAATGGGACAATTTATACTATTTTGATAAGTGTCTTACAATGGGCCTTTCCAGTTCCTGCGCTATTTTTGAATCTTTTAGCAGAGCGCTGGAATGGTTGGGACGGTTAGCAATTAATCATTTCGGTGCTTGCGCAGTTTTACATATTTTAGATGATTTTCTATTTATCGCTCCAACCAGAGATCAATTCGAGCATGACTTGGCGAAATTTGTCTTACCGTGCAATCATCTTGGGGTCCCTCTAGCTCCTGAGAAAACGGTTGGCCCCAATACGGTTCACAGTTTGCTGGAATAATGCTAGATTCAGTTCGCCTCGAGGCGCGACTTCCAGAAGATACGCTTCACAAATGTCGCGTCTTGTTAAAAGCTTTGCAGACCCGGCTCTCCGTTTGTTTGAAAGAATTACAATCCTTGCTCGGTTTATTGAATTTTGCTTGTCTTGTTGTTGTTCCTGGCAGAGCTTTTCTGCGTCGCTTGATCGATCTCACTATAGGTGTCACGTAGCCACATCATCACATTCGTACCTCTAAGGGAGCTAAGTTAGATATCATGCTGTGGCTTCGATTTCTAGACGAATTTAATGGGCGATCATTTCTCTTGTGTACCGATGCTGCGGGGTCAATAGGTTTCGCCGCGACATTTGGTAGCCATTGGTTTCATGGTGCCTGGCCGGAACTTTGGAAGACTTTTAACATCGCCGTTATGGAGCTTTTTCTTATTGTAATAGCTGTTCACATTTGGGGGACGCTCATGGCCAATAAACGTTTCATATTTTCCTCTGATAATGCCGCCGTTATCAATAAGCAGACGTCCAAGCACCCGGCATACTGTATTTCGCGAACTGGGCTGGACTGGACCAGACTGGACTTGTAAAACGCGGACTAGTAAAACGGGGATTTGTAAAACGCGGACTCATAAAACGCAGACTTGCAAAACGCCGACTTGTTCCCGGTGTGGTGGTCTATCTCTCATCTGATTGTTAAATGCTCGGAGATGTTAGCTGCATAAGCTACTCTGAAATCCGAGGGTAAATAAAGTAATGTATGTATTTATGTATGTAAAACGAGGTTTGGTAAAACGTGGACTTGTAAAACGCGGACTTGTAAAACGCGGACCTGTAAAACGTGGACTTGTAAAACGTGGACTTGTAAAACGTGGACTTGTAAAATGTGGACTATAAAACGCGGACTAGTAAAACGCGGATTAGTAAGAAAAACTTGTATTGAACTTGACTTGTGTTAGCGTAATTGTCTTTATTTGAACGATCATCTCTCATCCAAAGAACTTCAAATACTAATCAACTGTATACTTCTAACATACTTAGAGCCAACAAGCAACATTTCATCCATTCCATGCAAACAAATCTTGCGTTCTAATATATAAATGACAATTACTTTGGGTGCATCAAAACTTCAAATTCTAAACTTAATGCAGGCAGCGAAATATTTTTCTAACATTATTTCTGTTTTTAATTATAAAAAATTGCGATAAAATATTTCTAAGCATATTGAGAAAGTTAAAAATTTTGTTAAAAAACGACGACGTTTCGACGTTGAGCTAACGTCATTATCAAGTCAAAATGATAGTTGATAAAAAATGTATAAATAGTCAGTAAAACAATAGTTCAATGGATGTGTTAAAATGTTTAAAATTAAACTTTTAGATTAAATTAAATTTAGATTAAATTTTAAAATGTTTAAAATTAGAAATATTTTATCGCAATTTTTTATAGTTAAATGTTTAGAAAAATCGCTTCTTATTCGTATACTTAAACGCGATAACCAGCTGCACTTTTTCAGACGTCTTGAAAAGTGTAGTAAACGCCTCATCAAATGCGAAGGTTCTATTGAGTTCCTTCGCTTATGCGCGAACTTTGGTGTAACACCAACCTTTGCACAAGTTGATCGAAGAAAAGCACGAAAATGGAAGAAGTCTTCTGACGACTATCAAAAACAAGTCTTGGATGAGGAATTAAGATCGAAGCTATCTCAACTGAACGATCTCAAGGAAGAAGTTCGCAATGCCTACAAGGACATCAGAGAGAAATGTTCCCTGGTTCGCTACGTCGCCATTTCACCAACACTGACTACTCTTCGCAAGAACCAACACGATGAAATGATGAGAAGCCACGTTAACAAGATTTCGCGCTTGATCTCCAAGAAATTTGATGTGAATGAGCACATTAATAACATGTCTTCTTATCGCCTTTCCCTCTTCGAGAAGCTTGTTGTCTGCAAAGGACTGAAATTCTCCCTACCGCAACGAGTGTCGCCGATTGATGTTCTAGTCAGCTTTGAGAAAGCGTACTAGAAAATTGAGCCTTTACTGGAAGATCCCGACAAAAAAGAATTAGCAAGCTCCACATTACGCTCAATCGCGCTGAATTATATTCAACGTAAAAGCCCTAATCCACCCAAGGCACTGGTGAAAGCTCTTAATCGTCTAAAGAAACGGTATGACATCGTTATCACAAAACCCGACAAAGGCTCTGATGCTGTAGTAATAGAGGAGGCTGAGTACACACGCCTACTAAGTGCAGCTTCAATCGATGATACTTCCAAGTTTGTGCACGTCGATGACAAGCGACCAAAATCTCGTGGCCGACCACCTAAGCACTTTCATCCGCTTCTTCAGAAAGAGAAAGATGTCAACACAGTTTTACGTGAAACACTACCAAGGAACATCG